CTCAGGTCATGATCTCAGGGTCATTAGGTCATGCTCAGCACTCAGTGCAGAGTCTGCTTGGGATTCTTTCTCTCCCTGTACCCCTCTCACTCATGCTTGCTCTCCCTCTAAAATAAAATAAATCTTGAAAAAAAATCATTTGACCATATATGCAATTTTTATACATATGTGTACTTTTTTTACTCTCTGTGCTTTTCTGTTATGTCTTTCTGTCTTTAGGCCAGTACCACAGTGTTTTGATGACTGTGGCTTTGTGGTCAGTTTTGAAATTAGGAAGATCAGCTCTACCATTTTGATTTCTATCTTAAGATTGTTTTGGCTAAGGTCCTTTGAGTTTCAATAAGAATTTTAGAATGGATTTTTCTATATCTGCCAAAAAATGCCTTTGGGATTTTGATAGGGATTGCACTGAATCTTCAGATAACATTGGGTGGTATTGACATCTTAACAATATTAAGTATTCCAATCCGGGTACACGGAATGTCTTTCTATTGATTTGTGTCCTCTTTATTTTTTTTAAAATATTTTATAATTTTTAGTGTGCAAGTACTTCACTTCATTGGCTAAGTTTATTCCTAAGTTAAATATTTATTATATGTTTTTAATGTAAGTCTCTATTTCTTTTCAATTCTGTCATCTTAGAAAGATGTTCTATGTAAGTTGCTTTTTATTAAACTTCTTATAAATATTTCCTGTCTACTAGACTTATGTCTCTTTTATTTATAAGCAAGATGCTTTCTCTACATTTATTTTATTCTTAACTTTATCATTTTGCAGATATCTCCCATGTTGTAAAGTTTGTCCCTAATAATTTCTTAAGGACAAATAAGTTATTAAAATTGAAAAATGTATAAATGTTGACCTGAATTTTAATAAAATAAGCCACATTTTTGGACTGCTATAACTAATATCAAACTAAGAGAAAATAAATTATTTTATAAATCATATACAGTGACAAAGGAAGTAAATCTCCATTGTGATTATTGCTATTAAAAATAAATTTTGAATGATAAAAATTTTGCTGTACATTCAGATTTTTAATATTTTAATTGAAATTATAATTTGGGAATAACAGTATTTTACAATAAAACTTGCAAAGAACCATGAGTTTAACAACAAAATAATTAAAAAGCCAAATTCTGTGTAGATCTATATCACAACTATGTAATGGAAATCAAATGCAGTCATTTCCCACAACTTAGTTTTTACATTGTTAGTTGAAAAGAATAAGAAAATCAGTGTCCATCAGTTGGAGAATTTTTTAATATATTTCTCCAGAAGTTAATAAGATGGTTTCAAGGTCTTTTTTTTTCTTTTTTCTTAAGATAGTAAGTGACATTTAACTATAGAGAACAAACTGATAGTTGCCAGAAGCGAGGTGAGTGGGAGGACGGGTGAAATAGGTGAAGGGAATTAGGAGGGCACTTGTGATGAGCAATGGGTTATGTATGGAAGTGTTGAACCACTATATTATACATGTGAAACTGATATCACACTGTATGCTAACTAACTGAAATTTAAATAAAAACTTTAAAAAAAGGTAGTAAGGGATTAGAAAAGGAGGAGGAAATGGGAGGAATGAAGCAAGCAACAGGTCAGAAAGAAGCAAGAGGAATAGATAAATATAGAAGAATGAATGAAGAGGGGAATAAAAAATAGAAAGAAAAACAGTAAAAGAGAGAAGTGGAAAAATAGAAATGGAAACATTAGGAAAAAAAATAGAGGACAAGAGCACTGAGATGTACAGTATTTGCCACAAACTTAAAATATATAAATCTACATAGATGTATAGAAAGTGAAAAGCAAGCATAAATTATTAAGGACGAAAGGAAGTGAGGGAGGGAGAAAGAAAAGGAGAGAGTCCAGGAGAGGAGAGGGGAGGGGTGGGTAGAGAAGGAGGAGGAGTTTCCAAAAGGGAATATATATTTTACATGAGAATTGACTTTATTGAGATGGTCACCAAACCATCACATAAGAGTCAAACATTATCTCAAAGAACAAAATTGACTATGTGAAGGAATTAGGATGGTTTCAAAGAGAAAATAATATTTAACGAAAATATTCCAAATTTAGGAAATCCATATAAAGGAGATCTAGATAGTTGTAGTAAAAATCTCTAGGTAAAAGGGACAGCATGTGTAGAGGTTTTAGAAGGAAAATCCAACCATGTGGTCAGTTTTTTATATCCTTAAGGTTGCAGTCTTGTCAGGGTAGATGTCAAATGACAAAGCTCTGCAGTCAGATCTTATTAGAGGTGGTCATCAAGAGGTTGTCACCTCTGACCCATGAGTGGACTTGAGCAGCCCTTCTGTGCTTGGAATAAACATTCTGCACACCATCTCCGCAGTGGGAGCTGTTTTCAAGATGCAGCCTTGAGAGACTACTCAACTCAGTTAAAGCCTCTAGATTAACTTTTAAGCTTAGGGCAGGTGTGAAGATCTACTCATCTTAGAGCCATCCAAGACAAACCGCCCAGATAAGTTCCCTTGCTTATTAAACTTGCCACCTACCCATCTGTAGTGGCCTGCTTCTTCTGTCTCTCCACCTCCTCTGCTTATGGAGGCCAGTTTCAGACTTCATCCCAGATGTTCTTAAGATTTCAAACCAACACTTGCAGATCATTTTAAAGATTTATGCATTATTCTTCAGGTGATGATGAGTACATAAATTGTTATAAGCAGGGAAATAATATAACTATGCATAGTTTACATAGAATTGGCAGCTATATAATAGGTTTTGATGTAGTAAATCACTTGAAACAGGGAAATGCAGTAAAAGGTTCTTGCCATTATAGAGGTAAGAGATGGTGAAAGCTAGAAATAATACCATGAAAGCTAGAAATAACAAAAGATTTTAAAGAAGGTAGAATCAATAGATAATGATCTTGATATTAGAAGTAAAGCAAGAATGCATAAATAGTGTGACTACTAAGTGTCTGGCTTGGCAAACTAGGTATGTGGTGATGCTTTTTACTGACCGGTGTGACATGAGGAGTGATCTTTCTGAAATGCAAACATGATTATTTCTCACCCCAATTTAAGAGCCCTCAGAGACTCTCTATTCAAAGATAAAGTCCAAACTCCTTTATATATCATAAATGACTCATGATTTCTCCTGATACATCTTTTTTTTTTATGCCCTTCATACCTCACTCTACACTTCAGCTATACTGAATTACTCTCACTTGTCCAAATGTAATATGCATATTTCCCCTGGGGCTTTGTTCCCAGTGCCTGGAAATATTCTTTATCCTTTTAACCAGGCTTTACTTAGCCTTTTCTTAACTGTTACTTCCTATAAACTAACAAGTCCTAATATCCCAAGAATAGTTTAGGTATCACTCATATATAATTGCATATGGTCCTGAATTTATCTTTGATATAGTGTTAGTAAAATTGGCTGTTTCTAAGTGAAGATATACATCTGAAATTCTTAAAGTATGTGCTTTGTTCACTACTGTAATTTTTAATTATATTAAAATTATATATGCTCAATACACATTTGTGCAATGCAGTTTGATATTGGTTCAATTGTCAGCTATTAGAGATATTAACTTTTAACATTTTTCATTTGCTTTATGTATCTTCAGCCACTGTGGTCATTATAAAAACAGCAATTGAGAGTGATAAGTAGCTTTCCTCCTTCCCTTTCTTCCTTCCTTCCTTTTTCTTTTTCATGGTCTTTGAAGAATCTGCTAGATAACTAAAATTCCCCCTGCCCCTGGAATAGTGAAGCTACTTCTTTTGGACTCCCTTGTGTTTTTTCCCCAGTGATAGCTACAGTGTTGTCACTTCTGAAGAGGGAGAGAAGCTGGAGCATTTGCTCCAGTGTTTCCTTATGCCTCTCCTATTTCTTCTCCCCTCTACCTCCTGTATAAAGTGATCAGCTATAGGATGGATGGAAGAAAAATGGAAAATTTGATTTACTTTTTTCTTTTGGCTCTCAGATCATCACGTCAGATCATTTTTGCTTCCCTCACAATGTATACACCTAAGTTTTGTGGTGGAAGCAACAGTTTGTTTACACAAGAAATAACCAGACATAAGAGCATTACAGAATGTCATGAGGAAAGTTATGGAAGGACAATATTGTGATTTTTTTAGCAGCATTTTAAAAGTACATGAGCTCATGCATTATGATGGTCTTAATTGTCCTTTCTGATAATGTATAAATTGTTGTATATAGAAAATCCAAGTAAAAAAAATGGAGCTGAAAATTTTGATAACCCTTCTGTGTTTTGTATATGGCCGACACACCAGTAAAGTGTACTAAGTCTCATATTAGAATATTGCTAAAATTCTAAAAGAACTACCTAATTGAGCAGAAAAATATATCACAAAGTATCATTCAACTGAAACAATTTAAAAATGGCTTGTTTTTGTTTAGAGAGAATAATTTATGAAGTGTAGTTTAATTTGGAACATCTTATTTTCTTTAGGAGGGTATTTGAAGAGTCATGATTTACTTCTGTGGTCACATATTAGGATTCTGTATCCCCCTTTCTATTTGTATATACCTTCTGAATTTTAACTTATGTTGAAAATGATACATTTCTTTGTGGAACCACATTAAAAGAAATGACTATTGATAAAAAATATAATTCTTCATATTAAGGTACATGTTAAAACAAAACCTTCTACATGTAACACAGTGAAGTAAAATGGCTTTAGGACCTAAAGGAGACATGTTCTATACATAAATGATCTTTAAAACAGCAAAAGGGATATGATTTTATTTGTTAGCTGAAAACTTTAAATGTTTCTCTCAGATAGAAATGTATATAGCACGATAGTATGGATTCTAGACTGTAGTTTGAAAGAAGGCAATAGTGAAAATGAATTTCATGCTAGTAGACACTTTAAAAACTAGATTTAGCAGCAGTCACATTAGCTTAGATAATGGGAGAATTTTTCTTCATTGAAAATGCTCTGTGTCGCTTAAGAAGAACTTACTGAGGCAGCCTGCCATCTAGCTTTTTCACAGAAAAACAGGCTTACAGACTGCAGATGAGAGAGTCTGGAGCAGAGACAATTTTAACTTAGCCATTCCTAATTTATCTCAAGCATTTTCAATTCATCTTCACTGCTCTATGCACACAGGAACACCAGATTGCCATCCCTGGGGAACAGAATGCAACCAGGGATCTGGAGAGCTGTCACATTCCAAGAAATATTTAAATTGTGCTGATTTTCTTCTGGAGAACTGAGCCCAGGGAATGAAACTCTCCATCAAGTCATAGCTTTGCGGGCAATAGATCAGAGGATATTGCCAGTTTTCTAATGGATTATTGTTATCGGGCAGGTTTTCTCTGAAGGTACGTATTTTCTCAATTCATTACCCTCTCCTATTTATCAGGTAATGATCTAATGAGCTGGAGATCCAAACCGGTAAAAAAGAGAAAGATATTAAGTAGTCAGTATTGACTAAAGAATGACACTTTATTGCTGCATGTTTATAGGTGAATAATCCGACTCCTTTAGTAAAGATTAGTAGGTTGTAGTTTGAATTGCATTGTCAGCAAAAACAGGCAAAACCAAAACAAAACCGTGCTGCAGGCTGCATTATCATAAGTTCATATTAATTCTCTTGAGGATTTTTTGTAGCTGCAGCGTATAATGAAGGGAAATACATACTTTGGAAACTCAGTTAACCTTATACATCTTAAAAATATTTTTACATAATCATGATGTTTCCTCCGTATATTCTCTGATAGAAACTTTGTCTCAAATGCTGCTGTTAATTTTGGTGCCATTGATATTTATGGTATATAAATATATGAATGATAAAAGTATTCGATTTAAAGAAACTCCAGTGGGAATCTTTATGAGAATATTATATTGGTGTACTTTTCTGGCTTTATAGGTCTTTAGTTTTAAGTTTGAAAGAATCTTTCTAAAATTAATTGCTACATTTTTAGTAAAATATGCTTATCATAAAAATTTGTTATTCAACTTTGTTCTGTCAAGTGAAAAGTCCCAATACATCTATGAAGTACACAAAACTGTTTAGCAAAGTAAAACATGGAAAGCTGGCAAACTTCTGAATATTAACTGAATTAATAAAAATGGAAAAAGACTCATCCTACCCTGAAATTTAGCTTATTATACCTATGATATATTAGACCAGGCAGAGGGGTGACTACTGTGCCTGTTTCCTAAAAGTTAAAGGTATGTGTGTAGGAGGGTGTTTTGTGTCAGCAAGTGAATCGGGGTGTAGGATAGAAAGCAAGCACACAGTAATCACAGTGAGCTTACGAAAACTGAAGAAATATTTTAAAATATGGTATTAGGGCTCTTGATGTTTTTTAAGTGTTTTATTGTGTGAATAGGCTCAGTGAACCCTATCATGGTATTGATATTCTTCCATGTTAAAAATGACTATTAGAATAGGTAGAATAGCAGGTGTATCTCACCTGGAGCGTGGTATACCTGCTGCTGTCTTTGGACTGGAACACAGAGTCTGTGGACCCATCAGTGGGTTAATCACAGGCTCGGGAGAGGAAATGGTGGCTCCACTTCACGAAAGCACTTGTTAAATGTGTTCTCATTTCTTTTGAGCATTTGAGAGACTCTTAGAAGAATGAAGGAGAGGGAGAAGGATTGAGTCACTCAAATAGTTACTCGGAGTTTATTTTTTCTTATCCTCAGAGGGATTGTAAAAGGGGAAAAAAGGAAAAGATGAAGGGGAATGGAGTCCTCAAAGAGTACTGTTAAGTGCTTCATCTTCTTCTTCTTCTTTTTTTTTTTTTTTCATGAATCTTACAAGGATAGAGGAACAGAGGCTTAAATTAAGGTTTCCCTATGGATTCCTCCATTTGGCAAGCTTTCTCTCCTTTATGGATTATTTTCCCTCCGCTCACTTAAAAAAAAAAAAAAAAAAAAAAAGGTGAACTTGCTCCCAGTCTGGTTTCTTCCCCAGTAACTTGCAGCTCTAATTTAAATCTACAGAAGTATGCTCTCTGAAATTGCATACACGCCTGAGTGTCTCACAGTTTTATAATTCACTGACTTATGAATGTCAAAGCTAAAGTGATTTAACACTGTTTATTTATTTATTCAAGCATAGGGAAGATATGACAACAGCTTAGTGATATATCCTTTAATTTATATTTTGGGTGTTAGATGAATAGAACAAATATGAAAATCAGGAGGGGCACTTTCAGTTGTCAAACTGCAACAAAAATTTTTATTGCTCTGACTTATTAACCTTTTCTACCATATCATGCTAGTGTCTCTTGCCTCCCTATAGGGTTCATTCACTTACCCAGCTATCTAAATCTGCTCAGCTTCCAGGTCTAGTGCTAAAACTTGTTTTACTTCATCTAATGGTGAGTTCATTGCAAAATATATTACTATAATTTCATTTTATTAATTGATATTAAATATTTAATATTTATCGAGTGCCCATGAATTGTTTGGTGTTTCAAAGCAAGATATAGGAAGAAAGTACATAATGGTATTTTCTCTTAAATCAGGCAGTTTATTAATATTTCAAGACTTCTAATTGGTGCCCACAGAGGAAGGTAATTAAGGCTGGCTTTTTAGTGGCTGCTTATGCACATGTAAGACATGAAATATCCTGTATTCAATGGTCAATGATTTGCATTCAACTTTACTGTGGATCCCAGGCTTATCATCCAGCTGTATTCAAATACCTTCTCTACTCCACTCCATAGACCAGTGTGTCATCATAGGCAGAACATTGGATTGAGGATAAGAAAAACTAGATTTAAATGTGTTACGCAAGTTGGTGTAAGTTAATTGGTCTCCCACGTACTTCTCTCCTATTAGGTATATAATAAAGACAGTGGTATCTACTTTTTAGATTCTTGTGAGTAGCAGATATCACACATTAACAAACCCATAGTGTGTGCCCAACATATGTTTGATAAATAGCATTTATTTCTAAATGCATTGTATCATAGTCTCACATACAAAATGTACCAAATGAAACTACCGTGACTCATCTTTCTTCAGTGATGCATATGTGTGTATCAATGTGTATGTGTACATGTGCATTAGCATAGATCCATTGTTTAACAGTCTTAGTGATAAAAATAATGTATTGATCATGTCATTATTGCTCAGCACTAAAGTACTCTATAGAAGTACTCTATACACAGATAAAATTAGAAATTAAGATTAGCTTGAGAAATAGGTTGGCATGTTCTCTATGGCTATCAAACATCTAAATTTTCAACCATACCTTACCAGAGAAAGCAGATAGAACTGTATCTCATATTCCCATTTTTCCCTGCTCCCAAAAGATATGGAAATAGAAGACAAGCCAGTAAATCCTCTTGCTCATTATCTTGTGCCCTTTGCCCCTTTTGTTTGCATTTTATTTTGCTACAGTGGCTTGTTTAGTGAGATGGCCTCAAATTCTAACTGCACAGAGTAGTTTACGTATACAAACCACCCCTTCAAGGAACAAAGCAACTATATGAATACTTTTATTAAAACAAAAGACAGCTTTTGCTTTGAAAAAATGCTAAACATTTTTTAATGAGAGTGAAACTATTAAATGTGAATGTTCAATCCAGCCAGATGTTGACCTTACTGTGAGTTTGAATCTTTATAAAAAGAGTATGCAAATCCAAGCTAGAAACTGCTTTCTTTAGGTCTCAAGACTGCTGAAAAATTCTGAGTCTGAATTTCTCTGATACATTTCATATTGAGTTAAGCCTATACAGAAAGCCTACTTTAATATTCTGAGTTATATGGAGAGGTAAATTAAGCATCATATATGTCTTTCATATATCTTTTATTGGAACTTGGAAACAGATGTACAAATGTCCTCTTTATAAAAGGGAACCACCAAATAATTATTTTGAAAGTGTGTTACAGGAAATTATCTTGCACATTATGACTAGATCAAAATGTGGATACAAAAGCAAGTACCTGCTGAAAAGCTGTTCTCTTCTCTTCTTTCTCCCCCCCACCTTTTTTCAGTCAGTTATCTGTTGTCTTAAAATCAGTGAATCGACCTACTCACCAATTAAGTGAAGGTTTAGGTATCTGACCTCATTCTCTATAAGACCCTTGAATTTCTTGTTCTATTGCTGTTTGATTGCAAACTTTGTGTATTTTGACTGAGTATCTAAGGAGGTTAGAACCTGTGTCCAAATTCCAACTCAGTTTCTAAACGGTAAATATGTGTGGGAGGAGAGTAATGACATTCATATGCTTGTGTGGAATGAGTGACAAAATATCATAAGATCATACTATAGGGGCTTGTTGATGTAATACTAAAAAATGGTACTGAGTGTTGGTATAACTATCACCACATCACCATCTTCAACCTATCCCTGATATTGGTCTTCCCGTTATTCAGTATGATTATCTGTCCCCCTTTGGGGGACCCAGATATGTGTTCATTTATGTTTTTCCTCTGCCTATGGCTTCCTCTAAGTAAATATTTTCATTAAGTCAACCCTGCCCCTTTGACCTCACTTTAAACAGCTTAGCTACCAATTCTTTGAGGTGTTTTCCCTCAGCTTTTCTTAATGGGAAGACAGGTATCTCTGAGCTTAGTGATTCTCTCCTTATGTCTAGGAGTTCTAACTCCTAGTGTCTTGCAATGTGAGTGTATTTGAAGACATTTTTTTAAAGAAGTAATTAAATTAAAATGAGGTCATAAGGTAAATTCTAACCCAGTATGACTGATATCCTTGAAGAAGAGGAAACAGACACAGGCACATGAAGAGAAGCCCATGTAAAGACATCAGGAAAATGCAACTATCTATAAGCCAGGAAATAGACCTCAAAAGAAACCAACTCTTCTGACACTTTGATCTCAGCTTCTAGCCTCCAGAATTGTGAGGAAAAAAAAAAATTCTGTTGTTTATACCACACAGTCTGTGGTACTTTGTTCCAACAGCCCTATAAAACGAATAAACACTTTAGATTTTGGGGTCCCATAAGCTCTCTGTCACATTTTCCTCCTCCTTCTTCCCTCTTTGTCCTTATTCAGCCCTTTAAAAATGTGAAACAAAAACAACAAACAAAAAACCAAGTGCTTTTAGGGGCCATATTTGGCCATGAGCATAGTTTTCCAACCCTTGTTCTAGAATAGAAAGATCCTCCAAAGTTTGGGCAAAATATAACCCTAAACTTCCATGTTCAAGATTGTCTACTTTGCAGGTAACCACTGATTTTTAGCCTAAAAAATATAGCTTTATCTTTTTTTTTCTACCAAAATCTTTCAAATTCCTCAATTTGAAGTGGATATCTTGTAGAGCTTATTATTTTCACTCTTAATGGACCTTTATAGCCCTAAAGTTAGAATGGCATCTGAAAAATATTAATACTAGAA